GCTGCGCTTGGTCCATACTGTCAAGACCTCAGGCCGATATTCTCCCAGTACGGCCCTCGCGCTTGGTTAATAAGATATATATATTGAGCAAACAAGTGACGGGAGTGAAGAAAACTATCAATCAGGGGATTATTAGTTGATCCAATACCAAATTCTCCAAACTAACATCATAAGAATTGTATGAGTCTCTGGGGGTAGTTAAATGTAAAATCAATGACATTCTTTAAGTCTGACGCACGGCATTCACGAAAAACAGCTTTAGTGTTGTAGTATGTAGTTTGAATTTCAAATATCTCAGCGTATGTGATGTGTATTTTTATGGGCTGATGAATTGATTGTGTTTAAATAAAGATTACATTACATTACATATGGCAGATGGTAAAGAGAATTACTAATGAGATCTTGGAAGTGAAAGTGAAAACAATTTTAAAGTAAAAGAAATGTTACAGTACTTAGTTGTTCTTGATACATGGAGCTCACAATTATCTTCCTATATAATTCTGGAAATATATACAACGGTTCTGTACATGTCTGTTTTTTTACCAAATTCATTGAAAATTGAGAATGTTTTACTTCCTTCCTTACTTACTTACGTACTAGAGGAAGTGAGACAATTGATGCTAAAAAATAACAACTTCTGAGGTGGAGGAGACGATTGGGAACCATCTAATTAATGAAGTTTCCTTATTTTTTATTTCTACAGCCCGTTCACTAGTTGAACATTTTATTATTAACTTGAACTAATTATTATTAACAAATTATTAACAAATTATTAACAAATTATTAACAAATTTAAACTGAGCACAGAGTGACAGATCTGGAACAAACTATCTTGAACAACCTCCAATAAATTCGAACACGACTTTGAATAAACCTGAATGAATTTCACTACAATTACATAGCAAACAAAATGAAAACAAAGCAAAAGACTAACATTACTTTTAAAATAACAAAAACCTACAATATGACCAAAAAGACTAGGTAACATCATATAAGCATGATCATAAATGAAATTTTCTTTTGTCCACAGCCCTGTGTTTTCTGGCCTGTTTGACTTCTGTTCTATTTATACTGGAGCTTCACTTGAAGGTGCAGTCAGGCTTAATCAAGGGGTATGAGAAAAAAATTTTTAACAATTATTCCATGAGCGTGCGTTAGATATGAGATGATAGATAGCCAATGAGGCACGTAGCGCCGAGTTGGCTATAATCATCTGATATCCAACAAGCGCGAATGGAATGATTGTTTTATTAAAAACATTAAATTCAATATTAAATTTTACTAAATTTTTTTAGCTCCCTTTTAATTTTAAGCTGACGTGTACACTTACCATATTTGTAGATTATGGTATATTGGCTCATATGCCATAATGGCTAAGCCATTAAAAAGTCTTGAATTGCATTATCCAATGATCCAGTTTTTAATAAATACATGTATACAATGTAGAACAGACAGTTTCATTTGAAGAACAAAATTCAAAGCATTTTTTACTAATTTTGTAAAAACTAATTGTATAAACAGGTTTGCGACATTGCTGTCAATTGGGCAGGAGGTTTGCATCATGCCAAAAAATGTGAGGTGAGGTTAGGGAGTTGTTAACTTTTTGTTGCTGATTTCTTTTTTTTTTTTTTAAGCGTACCTAAGAATCAGAAAATTTTTGTTGAACTGCATCACTTTTATCATGGTCAGATTAACCCTTTAACTCCCAAGATCTGATTTTAAATTCTCCCCTCTAGCTGCCACACATTTCCTTGAAAATCAGTTACAAGAATTTGGTGTTAGACCAAGATAACAAGTTCTACCTGTCAGTGATAAATTTGAGTATTCTCATTACCTGTTTTCTTAATAATGTATGGATATTAAAGTGAGAAGTTACCTATTTTTGTTCATTCTATTATGGTAACTAAAGGGGTTAAGTGTCCAAGTTAGCTTTTATTTTTTTCGGTATAGTAAAATCATTCTAGGGACCAATCTCAAAGTGAAGTAGAGTAAAGCCAATGCATTCCTGGATTAATTGCACTGTTCAGCATAAAAATGGCTCCAGAACAGCTAATCCAAATAATTATTTCATGTATGTGTTGTTCCCTCATTAGGCATCAGGATTCTGCTATGTAAATGACATTGTGGTTGCAATACTGGAACTGTTAAAGTGAGTGATCTGTGGAATTTAGTTCTATCTCATGACATTGATACATTTTTTCCCTTTATTGAGTTTCTTTTTTTCAAAATAATGTTTTTGAATAAAAGCGTGTGCTGGGCTGTAGGAGATATACCTATACATGTATGATAACTTACCATAAGAACACTTTGATCAGTTATTTTATTTTGTGAGCACAAGCACAATTAAATTGTGCATGTTCACTATTGAATGTCAAGTACTGTGAGCACATGTTTCATTTGCATTGTAACCACTTTGTTTTACTTGGGGCTGACTTCTTGTTTTAATTCAGGTATCACAACCGTGTGTTGTACATTGACATTGACATTCACCATGGTGATGGAGTACAGGTATAACTTCTTTGCATTTAAATCTCTAATTTGCATTCACTTGCATCTAAAATATTAAGAAAAGTGAAGGAGAAAATCTTCCATATTCTGCTTTCAATGCAAACTGGATTGCATGCTTTTGAGAATGAATATGCCTAAAGCAGTGCCTGTGATAATATTTAGTTCTTATTAACCAAGCGGAAGGTCTGTATGGGAGAATCTTGACTGAGGTTGCCAGTACAGACTGAATGCAGTGAGGTCTGTACCAGCGACCAAGGTCAAGATTCCCCCATAAGGACCGACCTATTCTTTGTACCTTTTTTTTCTAGACCTGTCTAGATGCCGGTCTAGATGGGAAAATCTAGACCGCTTTCAATATTGATTTCAGCCAATCAAATTCGTGAATTCGGTAGTTCCCAGTCCTTGTGAGACACAGCCATATAATAAATACCTGTATATAATCCCCTGTGTAAACTTAAGCACGGTGCATATTTCTTCATTTTGTGTATAATTCACTTGCAGGAAGCCTTTTATTTGACCGATCGAGTAATGACGCTGTCCTTTCACAAGTATGGGAACCAATTCTTTCCAGGAACTGGTAAGTTTAAATGGGTGTCATTATGCTATCAAGACGTTCTCTTTCAGATGGGAACCTTTACCCTGAGGTATCAACAAAGTAGTCAATAGAATACAAAGGATGGCAAATTTTAGGTTAGTTCATCAAATAAAGATGTTATTCCTTGCTGTTGCAAGTTCAGGACAAAGGTATTGTAACAAAACACTAATCTTGTTACAAAGCACACCATGGTGTTCTCTGTAACCTAGGTATAAAATTTGATAGCATGGAATGTAAAGTTGTGGTGTTGGATTCCTCATTAGAAGTATTTAGATTTTTTCCAGTAACTAAACAGTTGAACTATGGTTTATTTGTTTATCTGCAGGAGACATGTTTGAATTAGGAGTTGAAAACGGACGATACTATTCACTAAATGTTCCTTTAAGAGATGGAATAGATGATCAAGGTAGGGCTCTTACTTTTAGGGATAGAATCTTTTACCATGGTTGACATGTGCGTAGTTTTCTCACAAGCCTCCCCTACAGCTTTAGGTTTGCAGAATGGTAAATTTTTTTCCCCATTGAAACTCACACGTTTCTCCAAAAGAATTGTCCTGTCCACAGCTGTTAAGAAACCCATTGAAATTTAATTTCAACTATTGTAGCAACTTAGGAGTGACTCTTGAATTCACCTTTAGTACATGCAATATATAAAAGACTTGAAAATCTTTTACATTTTGTGGACTGGTTTACTTCGTGAGTTGACAACTTTGTTGTGAACAAATTTTTATCAGCGTAGCCTACGCTGATAAAAATTTGCTACTATAAATGAAATTGCATGTCTCTTGAAATTGTTTCACATGGTTAAATGTATGTGTTAAAATTCACTTTCTTCACCTTTCTTTTGACAGGTTATGCCAATCTTTTTAAACCCATAATGCAGTCTGTTGTGAACCACTATCAACCAAGCTGCATTGTTTTACAAGTAAGAATCAGAAGAACATTGTTGTAATTATTCAATGCTATGATTTTCATGATAATTGTAGCCTTCTCAAAAATGTTGTGAAAGTCTGATAGTAATGACAAAATCTTCTGAGCAGAAAATCTTTTTGTTAGTAATCTCTTTTTACGCATTTGGTAGCATGAAAAAAGTGGTTGTCTCATGAAAGCAAATGAATAAAGGGGTTAAGTGTCTAAAGAAGCTGTGGTACTGCGTCGGTGGGAATAACAAGGTACTTTTGGTTTTATCAACTGAGTCGATAATGTAAACTGACCATCGTAAAGAGTTTTGAAAGCTTACGTTTCGAGCGTTAGCCCTTCGTCAGAGCGAATCGTCTCATGAAGGCACCCTTGCGCAGTTCTTACAACTCATCTCGGGTACAATTCATTTGAAAGTGTCCTGTTTATTGAAACGTTAGTATCTTTCTCGCAGTTTTAAACATCATTGACAGTGGTCTTCCTCTCTTTATTTTCATTGCAGTGTGGAGCTGATTCACTTGGGTGCGACAGACTTGGTTGTTTTAACCTCAGCATCAAAGGACATGGGTAAGACGCGACGAATTTAATCTGCATCTTCTGTAACCGACAGAAGTGATGGCTGAGTGATTAGCGAGCTAATCAACGGATTTTTTCCTTCCTCGTAACTGACAAAGTGCATGCGACATGGAGATTTGGGTGACTCTTGGTTATTTCTAAATGCTGTGCTCAAAACCTGGTCACTGAGTTGTGTTCAGAAACAATGAATATATGAAGTTCATATATTTTGAACTGCGGTATTAGATACGTATGATGCACGATCCTCGCAGTAGTATCTGATTTATCATCACGGGTTTATTACGAATCAACTTAACAGCCTGCTCCCAGTTGGTTTGTTAGCTCAATTGGTACAGCGCTGCACTAGTATCGCAGAGGTCAGTGGTTCGAATCCCGTACAGGCCTGACTTTTTTCAGGTCTGATTTTCGCTATTGCATAAATAGCGCTCTCTACTGCGAGGATCGTGCATCATACGTATGAGTTGTGTTCTTTGGAAAAATACTAATCCACCGACGCATCACCACAGTTTCTTTAGGAACTTACCTCATTTATTCATTTATCAGCAATTGTGTCCTGTATTTCAAAAGGCCTACAGGGATACAAAGGTTTACAGCAGCACCATGAGCCGATATGATTTTTTTTTTTCTTTGCGATTTTCAATTTGTGAAGACCTTCAACCTTCCAATGTTAGTTCTCGGTGGTGGAGGATACACCATTAAGAATGTTGCACGGTGCTGGAAAAATACTCATCCACCGACGCATCACCACAGTTTCTTTAGGAACTTACCTCATTTATTCATTTATCAGCAATTGCGTCCTGCATTTCAAAAGGCCTACAGGGATACAAAGTTTTACAGCAGCACCACGAGCTGATGTGATTTTTTTTTTCTTTGCGATTTTCAGTGAGTGTGTTCAATTTGTGAAGACCTTCAACCTTCCAATGTTAGTTCTCGGTGGTGGAGGATACACCATTAAGAATGTTGCACGGTGCTGGTAGGTTTCGTTATTGGCCTTCTGTGATCTGAACAGCTTTGGTTATGTGATACAGCACTGTTCCATCGGTTGTCGAAAGACCAAAACCATTTAAAGTATCCTCATTGGTTAATCAGAACCCTGAGCCAAAGAGAGCTCAAAATAAAAGTTACAACCAGCTCGAGGGGCGAGAAAACGCCAGGGAGCATGTCATGGTTATTTTGCGCTTTGCATTTGATTGGTTAAAAATTGGCGCCAGTTTTTTTTTGTTCAATCACGTAGAGCAGTGAAAACCCAGATTACTTTCAACACTCAACGAAAATTGCTCCATGAGGGATACGTGTTTGACGTCCGAAATTTCTTGCACGCAATTTGCTACAATGTACTTGCTCACCAGAGAGTCTCTGTGGTTCATTGTCAGAGCATCGGAGCGCGGAATCCGAAGGCTTCACGGGAATCAGAATTTTTCTGTGTCCCACGCACGTGACAAGACGAAAAACATATTTCTCAATGTACCTGAAGTTAGGGTCTATTTACATGTACCCATCCACGTTGACTTTGAATAATAGCAACCACAAATTCTTACTAATTAGTGCAAATATACCAGTGAACTGCTTAGTCGCTGGAGAGCAAATGGGTTGTTAAGAATTGTTCCTTAGTCCAAACGTAATCCACGTTGGAAGTGAGTACATTGTGAGACACATGATCATGCCTCATCGCTGGAAAAAAATGATACGTCTCTCGTTACGTATAGAAGCGTGGCGTAAATCCCCATCCCCGTCTACGCTTAAAATGTTTGCACATCTCTTGAGTTTTTCATTTCAGCTGTTCCTTATATTTTCTTCCTATTTGAAGGGCCTACGAAACATCGCTTCTAGTGGATCAGGAAATCTCAAGTGATATTCCCTATAACGGTAAACTGCTCTCACACTTGACTCAGTTTATTGAGATATTTGATCCCGAGTGTTTGGTTGTATCAGATGCTGCTATGACAGCCAAGGAGAGAAACCTTTTTCCTATAAACCACCCATTAATTGCCAGTCAAAGCGTGCTCTGAGGGAAATTTGGGATAATCCGTTTTACGAAGAACAATTTTGATGTCGCAACTGCCAGACGTGTTTAAAGATTGAATTACTTCGCCACATGTGAAGTCATTCGAACGATAATCAAATGTTACTTGAGTTCAAACCATAAACTGTAAAGGTAGAAAAAAGAAAAAGGAAAACATAGGAAAGTGGAGGGAAAAAAATTAATAAACTGATAGTTTAAGATGGTTAAAGTTTAAAAATAAAGGTCGGGCTGGATTTCTGAGTTGCCCAGGTGTTTTTAACCAGTTATGTTTTGTATTCCCTCAATTATAACGAAATTCCACGCTTGTCGCCGAGAACTCTTCTGACAGAGAGATATGATTGTTCGATTGACCCACACAGACTATTTGGAGTATTTCGCACCAGACTTCTCCCTGTATCCAGACATCGCAGCCAGAATAGAGAATCAGAACACGAAACAGGTAAGTTTGCTGTAAACTGATTCCAAACTAAATTTAAAGGTGAATTACACAAAGTCATAGTGTTTAGCAGTTCAAACGTTGTCCACCATTGGCTTTTTTCAGTACTTGGAACAAATAAAGCACACTGTGATAGAGAACATTAAATGCCTCACAGGGGCTCCCAGCGTACAGATGCAAGAGGTCCCCCCGGATTTCATGTGCTTGGAAAGCATGGAAGAACAGGAGGACCCTGATGTGAGACAGGAGGATGACACAAGGTAACGATGGGAGGGAAGGGTGGTGTTCTGAGAACAGTTCCGTTCTCAGTCTCTATTCTTCTTATTTTGAGTATGCCTGGATCAAAAGTAACGACCAGTCATTATTCATCGAGGGGGGAGGGGGGTTTGCAGGGTCACATGGCTCTCAGGGGGAGGGAGGGGCTAGTCTTCACCAACAGAGTTTAAATGGAATCACTAGATTACTACAGAGCCGGAGGGGAAGGTTAAATCGGGTGAATTTTATATTGACACGACTAAATCCTTCTAACCTTCCCCTCCCCCCTGCATCTGGATCTCTTACGAGTATTCTCCTCTTTCTTCACACAGATTTGAAGGGGAGTTTTATGATGGCGACCATGATGTTGACAAAGAAGACGCCTATGTAGAGGTGTAAAACGTTAAAGGAGGCAGACCTTTCTGTCCGCGAACTATTAAACAGCCATTAAGAGCTTTGAAGGCACGGGTGCCCCTTTTGAAAGTGGCTAAAAGGGATCCGTAGAGAGTCAATGTTTTCCAGAATAAAAAAAAACAAAAAAAACAGGAAAAAAGCAACCACTACTACAACAACGAAAGCAGCTAGAGAACATATTTGCTTGGAGGCCACCCCGAAGGTTGTTGCAGACGTGTACATCACGAATGATTCATAACGAGAAACCGTTTCGTTCATGGCCATTGTAGGCGATGTACAGTCACTTCAAACATTAAGTGGTATTATATAAATTGTGTATCGTAGAAGTCTGTTATTTAAGATATGTAAGATTGAATAAAGTGCAAATAAAAATCTGTCAAAACAGCCCCAGGCCTGTACTGGATTTGAACCCATGACCTCATTGATACCAGACTGAGTGCTCTACCAACTGAGCCAAATTTTTTTTCAGGTCCTATTTTCACTACTACTTAGGTAGTATTTATCACTGCGAGGATCGCTTTCATATGTATTCTTAAACCGCAGCGCACATATATGATTTTCAAATATTCCTAGTCTTTAAAATGCTTTATCCCACGTGAGGTTTTTAATCCTGGGCTATCTCCAACCGAATTTCGAGCAAACGGGCCCCAGGTAGTATACCTCTGTTAAGAATTCCCAGCAATTCCCTTTTTCCTTTCTTCGCCGGGACACTGATAAAGGTTACACAGAATCGCATAAGTAAATTATCTTTTCAACACAGAAATATCCAACGCGGGTGTATATGGCAGTCATAAATTAACTGTGGTTGTGTGCGGTCTTACCACACTGTCTTATCTTGAAGTGACGTCAGATCAGTAGATAAGCTGGTTTGCAGCCAATTAATTTGACTTAAATTGCCTTATTACTGTCAATTGTATATCCTCCTAAGAATCTGTCCGACGGTTACAAGGAATGCAAGTGGTTACTGGTTATTTGAGATAACCATTACATTTTGTGTCGGGTACTGTTTGATATGAAAGTTACTGGGGAAGAAAAGGGAAAAAAATAGCAAGGTTGCAGAGCAGCAGAGAGAAACAGAGATACGAGAATGATAATGAAACAAATGATACCAATGGTTATGAGCTGATGAGTAAAATTCTAAAAAAGGAGAGTTGTTTGGGACAAATTTATTGTTCAGATGACCTGACAAAGACAATAAGAAAAACGGTAAAGGTGTTCTAAAAGAAAATTCAAGCGCCGTTTCACTGAAATGTGTCGTCAAGAAAATCAGTACCTTGGATGTATTAATCTGATTAAAGCGACGATTTGTGATAAGGAAATGTAAAGCAGGTGTTTAGTCTCTCTCGGATTTTCAAACAGGGGTCGCAGTGTCTCGCGGGGCGCATCTCTGGGATCTGGCTCGATAAGGGGCAGTTGGCGCAAGAAATCAGCGGATGAATTTTCTTACAGGGTTCTCACATGGCGAATTTTTTTGTACTGATTGCGTTTTATTTACGCGATGGACTTAGCCGCAGGTAGTATGAATAGGGTAGAAAACAAAGCAAAACGAAACAAACAAACAAATAACTGAAATAAACGAACAAACAACACAATAAAAAGGAAAGGAGATAAAAACAAAAAAATCCTCTATTTCCTGTCTATTAACGCCAGCCACAAAGGCGTGCGACGATAAAACAGAGAACTACTATCCTTTGTCCTTTTTGTGCGACTCCACACGCCTTTGGTTGATGTCTAGAATTTCCCGGAAATAAACAAACCTACGGTTTTGGATGTTTTGGTCTTCAAGTTTCTTTGAAATGGCGACGACAGTGGCTTTCGTTCGTCAAAATATTAAGAACAACAGACTAGTTGATTATGTGTTTTGGCATGCCCTGAGGGCTGTTCGTCTCCTTTACATCGAACTGGCTTTATCTCCGAGGCTCTGAAAGATCTACACAACCCATTGTTTAGAACACCGAGCCAGGCCACTTGCATCTTTAGAAAATGACCCATCTTCACAGAGATCTATTCAGGCAAAGATCCAAGAGCTTGATATATACCGGTACACGGGACGAATGAGAACTCCCTGCTGGGGTCCTACGAACTCATTTGTTTGGGTCACCTAATCGTTTCCTGACAGACAAATAACGGCGGGTGTTTTGTAGCGAAAGTTTAGACCTCACCACATACAACGTTACAATCTGTGTGGGTGTACTTCGTCCGTGGGCTGCAAAATTTGGTCAAACTCGCATAGGAACGGAGTAAAACTCGCACAGAACGATATTTTTCGCTTTTCAACTGGAGAAGTACGCGATCACGAGCTACAGTGTCCATTCGGAGAAGACATACCTTTGGGGACAGAAGTTTCGATACATCTTAGGTATGCTGTGAAGTTATCAGTGCTTTGTTAGTGAGGTATGGTTTTGGCTAGAGGGTGACCTTAGACACTGCTGTGTTTTTTTCGAGTAAGTCAGGGTTTCACCATTAAGACTGTTGTTCAATGGCTATGAACAGATGAACAACACTTGAGTTTTCAGTATTTCTGAAGTGTAAGGATTGAGTTCGTGAGTTTCCTCTAAACTCAGTTTTGATTCTCAGATGTCCTTCAATTCCAATCAACGTTCCCTCTGCTTTATTGTGGATTTCGTAATCATGAGTCATCTTAAAGGTCTTTGAGCATGACATCGACTAGAAGCAATGGAGATTTTCACAAGGTTTCCGAATTGGCGCACTGACAACAAGGAAATCCCTGGAAAACGTTAAGTCGATAGCGGTAATCTGCTGGGTCACCCAAGTTGTCAATGTATATAAGGGCCTCTAAATTAATTTATTCATTTTTAAGCGTCGTGATCAGTTTGTGAAGATAGATTTGCGATTCACACATGCGCTCGGATCGTTTCCATGTAGTGAATTCGCTTCGAATGTTTGCGAAACGATACGAAATATCGCAAAAGCTTCAAAATAACAGGATTCATTAAGTTTAACTGTCTTTTTGTCAATAGCAAGCAGATATTTCCATCCAGTACCTGCTCGGGATCTCTGAAACATTACACACTGCATCGATTTTTATAGTAAAAAAACATTGCCCACGTTTCAATTGGCAGCGTAACACTCTGTAAGGGTCAAATGGTCGAATAGTTGTGAAACGAAGAGAAAATCTGTTGTTTCTCATAAAAAAACGGGGTCTGGTGTCGTCATAAGGAGCTAAACGCGGAGCAGAAAATTTCGTAAAAAGCTTAAAAGGTCGCATCCACTCGAGAGAGCGGAACTTCTATTCCCTTCTCAAGAATTCACCTAGAACCTTTCGCATAATTGTTCTATATCCTGCACCAGCCTTGCTCACTATCGTTCAATAAGTTTTCATCCTTATTGTAAAGTTTCCTTCTAAAGTTTTACAATTTTATTTAATTCATTTGTCCGTGTTTTTATTGTCCAGGCCAATACAATCCATCAGGCATGCTCGTGAAGTCTAGTTCAGCTGACATGTTGTCCAGCTTAAGCGATGACCAACTTTTAATGATTGTTTTCCTTCTTGTCTCAGTAATTACTTAGGATGCTTTTTGGATTGTGTTTTATCTGTTTGAGTGTTCTTCCGCTCCTTGGTGAGTACTGAACCGTTTTGATTTTTCACGCAGTCTTTTCTTTTAAAATTGACTTATTTATGTCACGCATGCCGTTTATTGAGCTGTCAACGCAAAGCTGTTTTTGTTTCCTCGTAAACTTCGCGGTTTTTTTGCTCTACTAACCCGGAGATCTTTGCGATTGACTGCCGTAAAACCAAAGCCATGGTGATCTCAAAGGCCAATCAGAATAGAGGAAATATCACAAGGAGCCAATCAGCTTGAAGCGCGGGAGAATGCGTGTCAGACGTGAGTGGATTGAGAAATTGGCGCAAGTGTTCTGGACACAATACAGGTTAGGGACAATGAGCAAACCACGACGGCGACGGCGACGAACAGGTGGCAAAACAAAAGATTTATTACACGACTCGGGCAGTCAGAGGGCCAATAACTAAAATCAACCAATCAAAATGCTCTATTGCCGGTCAATATTCTCTCAGTATTGGACCCGGCACTGTCCCGAATGGTCCCGAATGGTACCGCACTTGTGTCCCTTTGAACTTCAGTCGTATGATAAATCTCTTATTAACCAAGCTTGCTCGGGACCGTACTGGAAGAATATCGGTCCGAGGTCTTTTTTGTACGGACCTCGCTCCGCTCGGTCCATACTGTCAAGATCTCGGGCTGATATTCTCTCAGTACGGCCCTCGCGCTTGGTTAATTAAGATATATATAATGGACAGAACAAAAGCCAGCACGTGCGTTTTAAAACTTTGTACATTTCTTAGCCGTCCTTTGCAAAACAACAACGTGAAATCACCAAAATTTGGGTCGTCTGCGAAAGGAAGTCGCGATGGTAAATTATTTTAATTTCCATATGGAACTCAACGCTGCTTATATACGTTATGCTGAAGTTGAGGTGTGGCGCCGTAAGACACGGTAAACACGTGCAGTCATTTTCGAAAATCTAATTGAAAGAAGACATTCATGTTTCAATCGACGTCTTCCTTGGCGTTGCCGTCTTGAGTGCTTAGGTCCCAGGCCTCTTCATCCAGAGACCGGTAGGCTTATCACTAAGTAACCTCGCCTCTCAATCGACGTCTTCTTTGGCGTTGCCGTCTTGAGTGCTTAGGTCCCAGGCCTCTTCATCCAGAGACCGGTAGGCTTATCACTAAGTAACCTCGCCTCTCAATCGACGTCTTCTTTGGCGTTGCCGTCTTGAGTGCTTAGGTCCCAGGCCTCTTCATCCAGAGACCGGTAGGCTTATCACTAAGTAACCTCGCCTCTCAATCGACGTCTTCTTTGGCGTTGCCGTCTTGAGTGCTTAGGTCCCAGGCCTCTTCATCCAGAGACCGGTAGGCTTATCACTAAGTAACCTCGCCTCTCAATCGACGTCTTCCTTGGCGTTGACGTCTTGAGTGCTTAGGTCCCTATTGGCTTAACGACGGCGACTTCTAATTGAACCGAAGGAAAGCAAAACAGAAGATTTATCTGTGTCCCGGAATTTGACATTTTGATGTGAGGTTTCCGTTCGATATCAAATTATGTGACAGAAGTCGATGGATTTTTAATTTCACTATGCAGAGAATCAAAACACTCAATTGAGGTGATCTGTTGTAACATAAGTCAAACAACAATACGTATTTCAATGGTAAAGTAGGAACATATTTTAATGCTTGCTGCTTGCTGTCTCTATCAGGTGAGCTTAAGACGATTTTGGCACCAGTGAGACAAGAACAAAAGGGAAAAAAATCACTGAACATAGCCGATTCTGTTATATCGTAGCTTTCTTGTCATCTTCATGCGTGTCCGATAGCGTGGGACCCATTAATTTCACTTACGCTTTGTGATTGGTCCAGAAAACTCGCACACCGTCTCAACCAATCAGATACAAGACTAAAACCAATCACTACTGATCATTCTTGTTTTCCCGCGCTTCAGGCTTATATGTTTTTACTCTCGTGAGATTAATCTTTCTTTCTGATTGGCCATTAAAGTTTATTTGGGGTTTAGCTTTATGAAACCCAGTCTAAAACCTTTTATAAAAGCTAACACTACTGGAAACTCATCCTAAATTTTTCTAATCCATACTTCTTCCAGTCAATCCTGTTTTCTATGGAGAAAAAGAACAGGTTGATCTGGGGGTGGAGGAAAGGGTTACGAGCAAAACCAGAAGGCTAGGAAGGTTGACGCGCATAGATCAGTAGTTTTTTCGTACACCAATGTCTCATCAAAATCCCTATTCTAGCCCGCGAAATGCGCCACAATGCTCGCTCAAGTGATAATAATATGCTGTCGGGAATCGGTTTTCGCCGACAAAGAAACTCACAATTTCTTGATTCTAACAGTTTTAATAGCCCAGCACTCAGCCAAGCTGTCACAATTCTTAGTTTTTTTTCACTCTCTCCCTCTCTACTCTCACACACTCCCACTACTCGTCTCATATATCAAAGGACTCAAGGTTAAAACGGGCAAATTTGACGTCTAGCTGTCATCACCGGAAAACAGAAACTTGCGTAACGCAACTCGCAGTCACGACACTCTCCCCCTATTTGATACCGGAGGTGTCAAATATAAAACAAACGAGAATAAACGTTCCTTTAGTCTTCTTCTTGATCAGCAATAGCCCTTATGCGCCTATCAAGGAAGGGGATGTCGTGTTAATCCAAAATGACGAGCGTAACAGAGGAAAGTGGAACCTCGGGATCGTGGTGAAGCTAATCAAAGGCAGAGACGGAGTCGTCAGAACAGCAAGACTGAGAGCAGACAAATCCTATCTGGAGGGGGCGATCCAACAGTTGTGCCCCATGGAGTTGTCCTGTGACCGGACCCAGAAACCTCAAGATCCAGTTCTTAACCCTACAGGTCGGGTATTTACACCCAGGAGAGCGGCTGTGGCTGCTCCAGAGCTCATAAGGGCTATTGCTGATCAAGAAGAACACTAAAGGAACGTTTATTCTCGTTTGTTTTATATTTGACACCTCCGGTATCAAATAGGGGGAGAGTGTCGTGACTGAGAGTTGCGTTACGCAAGTTTCTGTTTTCCGGTGAGACGAGTAGTGGGAGCGTGTGAGAGTAGCGAGGGAGGGAGTCAAAAAAACTAAGAATTGTGACAGCTAGGCTGAGTGCTGGGCTATTAAAACTGTTAAAATCAAGAAATTGGGAGTTTCTTTGTCGGCGAAAACCGATTCCCGACAAAACTTCCTTTTTCGTATACTTTTATCTAACCCGAAGCAAGGGTCACGCAAGCCATATGGTGAAAGCGAGAAACAAAGTCGCCTCGTGCTTGCAAGTGACTTTTCGCTGTGTTCACAATTCATCCACTTGGCTTAAAAGCAACGAAAACTAACTATAATGTTCTTTGATGCCTTCATTAGACTGAAGCTTATGGTGATTCTTCTTTTCTTTGGTTGCAGGCAAATCGTCGTCATCTTCGACGGATTTTGGTGGGTCAGAGTTTTTGATGCTACAATATTTTGTTTCGTTTATGGAGTTTTCCTAATAACCTCACTGGAAAATAAAGCTAGATTTTGACAATGCTGTTTACTTTCTCTGGGATACTCATCGGGATAATCTGCAATGGACATTGTGTCCCATCCAAAGGTCTCAGTGATACTCCTGGTCGCTTCATTCTATAGAAACCTGGATCATCCGCGGCTGGATGGATCACCAACCTTTGCTTGTAAGCTAGGTTTACCTCCGGAGCTTTAGAGGATAACGTTATTTTGATAGTCTAAGAGGAGGGTTGTGTTCTGTAACATCACTGAAAATAACAAGCAAGATTTTCGCCATCGTAAATCCTTTCGAATATAACCACAACATGAACGATTGTCGAAGAAGACTTGAGCTAGCTTCATTTAGCTTTAATCAAAAGAAAGTTTTTTTAACATACCCTGCTAACTTTTTTTTTCTTGCTCAGCTTTTCCTCAGGATTGTGGGCTCAGAAAGATACGAAACAGTAGAGTCGGACGCGTGAAAAGGATTGTGGGTGGCTCCCAGAGTTTTCAGGGAAAGTGGCCTTGGCAGGCTGCCTTGTTTTTTCATGGAAGCCACTACTGCGGCGGCGCAATCATCTCTGATACCTGGATAGTAACTGCTGCTCATTGTTTCAGTAAGCAAAGACAAAAGAAAAAAGAGACTCACAACTAGAAATATCAATAGGTAGAGAATCTCAAACTTTAGGACCTTTAAAAACAATGGTAAACTGTTTGATATTCGTTCTACAAATATGAGGTCGAAAGTTTGAGGCTCCTGCGGTATAATATTCTTGTAGATCATTATTCGCGTGGAGAAATGAAAAGTGTGAGTAAACTGGTAGAAGGCTCTGAGTGAGTAGCTGCGAGTTGTTCCACAGCTGGGTTCTTCTGTATGAACAAATCCTCAGCAGGTGATCAGAGCGTGCCCGAGGAAGAGCTACTTTGTTTTCAGTGTCCCTTAAGCGATACGCACTCAGGTTGTCGCGAAAAACGAATCCCGATCTTAAATATTCTAGCGGCCATTTCATGTTACGTCTTATCCTCGTGATAGCTTTCTTTCCTAATCTTGGATGAGAGAGTTTCATCCAGGGAAGCAATACTCTTGGTGCTTCATGCAAAAGAAACCAGGATGAGGCTCTATAGCTTTCAATTTACTTTTTTAATTTTAACCCCAGATCCCCGCACTTCCAAAAATCCTGCTGACTGGACGGTAGTCCTTGGAGATCATCACCACGTAAAACGAGATGACAGGTTTGAACAAAGACGAAACGTGGTCAGCATCATAGTCCACGAAAATTACAAATCCATGTACTTTGAGGGAATTGAGGATATTCCACCCGTGAATGACATTAGTAAGTTACAAATCTATGGTAAAGAATCGGTTAAATCAGACATAGCTTATTCAAGGTTGGGTCACTTAGCACTTGTAAGCTTGTGACCTGGGTAGGTTTTTTTTTTTTGTTCTCAAAGACGTCAAATACCAATGGCACAAATACTTGTCAAATTAGTTTAGAGTTCGTCATTGAGTTGAATTCGCCTTTTGACACATGGTAGAGGTGTGAGCGCTTTCCATGAGCGGTAGAATTCTAATTTAAGAAGTCAGTCATCTTGTAGCCTCCAAGAGACTCAGAGATGGTTTACGCTTATAAGTGATCAGTACTTTCTCATTCAGATCTTTCTTCCATTTCAGCGATAATGAAACTTAACCGTCCGGTTACATTCAATCACTACGTACAACCAGTGTGCTTACCACGCCCAAGTGACGTTTTCGCACCAAATGAGGAGTGTTACGTGGCTGGGTGGGGTCACACGGAGTGGAATGGCGCACAACCAGACATTCTACGCGAAGCTAAAGTTAGAATCATTTCTCGAGAGGTGTGTAACCAGGAAAAATCCTATGATGGAAAGATTCACGGGACCGCCATGTGTGCGGGATATCCTGAAGGTGGAAGAGACGCATGCGAATATGACAGTGGCGGTCCGCTGGTTTGTGTGAAGTGCGGGCGTCATTACGTCGCGGGGCTGGTTTCATGGGGCTATCAGTGCGCTTTACCGAACAAATACGGCGTTTATGCAAATATGACAGTGCTTACACCGTGGGTTAAGGACAAAATAAGCAGATTTGAGAGGGATAGCGCTTCAAAAACACCCCAAAAAATGTAACCGCTACACGTTTGCGAAACCTCCTCATTCGCCCCACGTTTCGCATGACTGTGTACAAAGCGGGAAAAGAGGCTAGGGAGTCAGGAACTGGGTCTACCCCATGGGGTCGAGGCTAATTGTTAAATTTTTCGGGAAAAATAAACTAAAAAAGCCGAAAAAAGTTTTCTCTCGCTAAGAGTTTTATTTCTGTTTCTTTGTCTGCCTTTTCGATTGCTATTTTTTTAATTTTCCATGAGGAGTAGGTGTTTTCGCGGTTTCGCAGTTGGACCTGGTGAAAGCAAGGCCATTTCCATATATTGGCTCGACCCAGTTTCCTCGCTCATATCGAACTTGCGTACTTACCAACTTTGGGTGGACCCAACCCCAAAAAGACTGAAAAGCAATTGTTCAGGGGTGAGGTCAGGGAATGTGTAGTGTGTAGATAATGATACTAACACACCGAGTTTCTGAAGAATGTATGCAAATACTTCTGTAATCAACAACCAGCCTCAGCTGGAATTCTCCAAACAGTCTCTAAATAAATGAGTAAAGGGTGAAAGTTTCTAAAGAAACTTTGTGCTGCGTCGGTGGGGCTAACAAGGTAATTTGGAAATATCAACTACGTTGAAATTGTAAATTCGCCACCGTAAAGACTTAAAAAGCTGAAGTTTCGGGCGTGCAGCCTTCGTCATCCGAATTACCGTCTCTAAATAACTCCAATGCAAGCTTTGAGACCTCAGTTATGGTTCGAATCATTTCTGTAATCCACACTAGTCATAAAAAAAAAAGTTTAACTTGGTGTTAGTCCACCCGATGCGATATGTAGACTTGCGTTTTCATGTTAAGATGACTTAACTGAATCTCACTTTAGCCCTGGTGATCGTGCTGGACTGCACATCTCACTTTGAGTAAATTTGAGCCTGATTTCAGCGCGATTTCCGTCTATTTAAGTAGGGTTGCGAATGGACATGTTGTAGACCTACAAAATGGAAAACTATGATCGTGATTAAAAAAATTTTAAGCAACACAATACCCTTGCTCATACCGTCGCTTTATTCGGATCACTTGAAGGTTAATGATCATTTTTAATGGCAGAGAAATGTTTTTTTGAGATGCAGTACCCTCTTTCACGATCCTTGTTGCGACATATCAGCCTTTGTATGGCAGTTTTTTCACTCAACGGTCACGCACAGACCTTTGTCGGCGGCTCACAGCCATATTTCTTATTCACCTTACCTCTAGACTCGAGGCTATAGGGGCAAACCATAGACTTTGAGAACTTAAGAAGAAATGCGACACTTGAAGACCAAGGCCAACGAAATTTCGAGATCAGATTAAAAAAAAAATTCACATAAATACTTAGATCGGCAGTTTTTGCAAGGCAGCACCCGCCATCCCAGAGAAATCTGAGTTCTGCCCAATGAGATTTGCAAAGCGATATGCGACTTTAATTTTGAATACTGGTGACCGAGCAGGAGTCTTCAAATGGGAGCAGTGTTAAATATAAGCTCAGCTATTGAGTTGAAATAATTTGCCGGACAGAATTTGGAAAAACAAGGTCCTTGAGTGGACTTCAGGGAAGGCCCCTTAACTTGAAGTGTTGATCAATACCTGAGAACTTGCGAGGATTCTGTATGAACATTACGTACGCAGGGCAAGAGATAAGAACAGTGCTTTGATAATGTTTTAAGCGTTTAGAGACAAGAGACAAGGATAATTTTCTTTGATTCTACCTGCATGTCTTGACAACAGTTGTAACTTGAGCGGCAAAGTAAAGAGAGTTTATTGATAGTGTCAATGAGGCCAATGATCGATTAAGACTTAAAATAATTCGGTTAGGAAACGGAAATCGCTTATCTAGAAAAAAAAAGTTCAAGGTCCTGATTTGTTAATAGACTTCTGGTCAAAGTTGCACTTTATTGCATGCTATATTCCACTGTTAGATTAAATTTCTTCTACCTACACGGTATTTATTTTTATAACAAATGCACTGACAACATACACTCCAGAATTCCCCCAGGATTTTGACCGTCCAAAGGGGAAGGATATAGTTTCATATTCATCGCTGTCCACAGAAAGACCTTTACGAAATCAGATGCATAAATAATCCGAGGGTTTTCATCAGCCGTATTCTCGCTGTATTAAACGGGGAAGCTGTCAGATAAACATTTTCCGAACGGGATGTTTTCGAGATCGTAGAATGACATAGAATTTGAGGGGGAAACTTCTACCCGTGGGATAACTACTCGGCTCCAAACCCCCTAGACCCTCCAGGGTTTTGCTGAAGCCAATATTTAGTTTTCAGTTCTGATTGTGATGAATTTTACAAACTCTTCATAATTCTTCAGAGCATGTTTGTAAGTTGCATTTGAGGAAAATTTTTTCTTTCTTGCATGTAAAGATGTGTCGAATTCATTCGAGCGACAATTGCCAAAATTTAAATTCTTAACTTCATGCATTATCTCACTCCGTCGCCCTCGAATCCTTGTAAAGGATACTTTTAATGGAGGTTCTCAAATCATTTTGTCATGGAAGGTAGCTTCTTCAACAGAACTCTGTTGCTCAGAGGCTAGAAAACCAGTACTATTGTGATAAATTATTCAAAGTTATTTCGGTTCAGTTCTCTTTAATTTCCCTGTGATGTTATGACCAAGATGACAAGCAGTGCTTTAAGAAACCCGGTCTGTTATTTAAAATTTTTGTATTTCAATTTATGAACGGGGTGCGTCAAGCAAGTAAGCATAAGATATATGCTATCGTGTAAGGAATGAGATTTACGAGCTCCTTGATAGAAGACTTTGGCTCTGAGCTATACTTAAAATAATGGAATTCTTTACGTGTTCGAAATTGACCCTGATCAGATAAAATTCAATAATGCGCGATCAAATTCATCGATCAAGGTATTTAGAAAATCAAGATTCTTCTGTTTTCTCTGCATGAAGTGGACCCGAAACTCGATTGAGCTTTTTTTTTTGTCCTTAGATGATAAGTTCTTACAACACTTTGATTAAACATCAGCAGGAAGGGTTGAATTAAGAATCTTAGCGGTAGGTGGACTATGATTTAAAAATAGTCCACGATCGCGCAGCACACGCGCACGAAACTAACGAAGGTCACTCAAAAAAACATGGAAGCACCTTTTTGACGCGAAAGGAAAAATAATCTGCTCAGGCACTTCATTTTCGCACTGTAAGCGTTTTCGTACCTCTTTTCAGTGGATAAATATGCCAATTTGGTCGTGAAAAAAGAAAAAGTATTTAAGAAAATCTTATCTCTCAGGGTCGCGTCATCTGGATTAATTTGCCTCTCAATTTTTTTTTTTATTTTCTTTAATTGATGAATTTCCGTTATTAAATCCGTCACGTCCATACCTGTTAATTTTTTTTCCAGGTATCATTATCAAAATCAAATTTTTACATGAAAACTGGAAAGACCCTTTCTAGAAAATTCAATCTGTTACAAAAATTAAGGAGTAAACAAGCCAAACGGAATGTGTTATTGCAACATATTCCTTTAAGTACTCTAAAGTGTTATCCGTGAATGCCTTCTGTAACAAAAACAGACTTTACCCTTTAATCAAACCCTGAGGCTTAACATGCCTCAAGTAAACTGTCGATCACGTGAAGATGTACTTTGGAAAAAAGCCCAAATTGTTCTTTTTTGATGAGCCGGTAAATAGTTCCCAAAGGGTAGATGACCGGATGAAATTTCATTCTTGTTGAAACATGTTCCTCTTCTGGCTATAAATACTTTGACAACCACCGTAGAAGTGCTCTTTCCAGGAGGATAGCCGGCGACTGCAAATATGAAGGTGTTCGCTTTTCTCTTGTTCGCTGGAGTTTCTCTTGCACACTATCGAGGTAAAAAGCTAACTACTTTGTATAACATGTATAGAACTAGAAGAATAATTGATTTTTTGGCTATTCTCGATTTCGCACGTAGAGTCCTTAAACAGTGTATGCAGCCAGTGCAAATAGAGATGCTTTCTGGACCATTAACAGCTTAATATTCTTGCGTTTTTTTAACCCCTACAATGCGACTAAGAATATAGGATTTAGGAAAATCACTGAACGCACTACTAAGCCACGTTCTAGATAGAAGAAGCGCTCGGATAATTTTTTTGCGGTATGATATATGGGCGGTCGAGGGGTGGGGTTTAACGTATTGCCTATTCAAGTATATATGTCCAACTTGTAGGGTGCGAATACCAATGAGTGACTTTCTTATTGCCTAATCTGATATTTGTCCGAAAATTGCAGGTGGTCGAGAAAGACAGAAGGGTAACTACCTAACGGAGCCTCAGGTGAAAGGTGAGATATTCTTACATAGCCGATTTTTAATATTCTGTGTTGAACACATGATTGCAAAAATTTATGTCGACGAATCATGAAACGTAGCACTAAGCAAATCAACTGATCTGCGAAACGTAGTTCACTTCCTTGTCAATAAAGGCAAAAAATACACGCTGCGAAAAAATACATCCGGTATAAAAGAACCGTGAAAATCGCGCCAGTGCTTGCAAACATGAACGACAGAGTTGCTGACGAACCCAAACAGTTTTGTCGCCAAAATTACATCAGATTCTTATGAACTGTCACCGGAAAATAGCAATTTTCGCGCAGCAAAACAACCACAATTGTTTTTTATACATGTAACCCTTGATCTGCAATTAATTGATTTGAGTATTTGAGTCAGTGACGTCACATGACAATGCACATTTCTTTCAGCGATCAAACTACACAATAGAGCGATGTACTTCGATCGTTCTTTCTAATTAAATTAAAGCAATCAAGTCACATTTTTAATCCAAACTGCCCTTAACGCCTCACCTTTGAAGTTTATTTTAATGAAAATAATCTTTAACTTTAAAAGTCGATGTTTTGACATAGTAAGATTTGTGTACCAGAGTCCGTTTCGATGGTACATCAACCTTCTGACCTCTAGGAGTGACTAGGATCTAAATTCTCCTTAAAACACTACCACTAAATCACACATAAACTTACGAGATTAAAGGAAATAATCACCAGTTGAAGAAGCTCTTGAATGTTCAACAAATTCTCCTTGTCAGCACTTCAATTTATTTATAGGAAACAGTATAGAGAATCTATATACTGATATTACGTTGTGAAGGACTAGAAAACCAGCTTCAGCGAAATTAATTTTCATTGACCATCGAACCGTGATCGCAATGTATCGTCCGTCGGAAAAACCAATTGGAAACCCCAACCTAAAATTGTTTTCCTTTTGCTCTAGCCAGTCGCGAAATAATTTGATTGAAGTCAAAGCTTTCTTATGCCAAATTGAAAACTCAAAAAGGAACGTGACCATATGTTTACCCGAACACACGATGGGTACTTGATATGCTGTTATGATTTTCTCATGTATCTGATATAAGATATCATCGGTTCCGGCCTTAAACAAAGCTAAGACTCAAGAATTTCTATTTGCTGGGGTGTGAAAGAAAATTCCATCATTGTTTCAGGATAAAAGCTTTTCATCAGATAGCTCTAAGAAAAATAGTAATTATAAGCTGAGCGTGGATATTCAATTTCGCTGAAAATCGTTGGCTCGTTCATAGCAGTGTTGATCGTTTTATATTACAGCAAAGAAGATCATATTTTTGAAAGGTCACGTGAATAATTACAACTGTCTTGAACCACGCATTTTTTTCCTTAAGGAAATCTCCAAAATCGTCTTTAATTACGTGAAATTGTTCTTTAATCGGAAAATGTATTGACAAGAGTAGACAGTAAGTGTTGGAGAAATGAAAAAATGTTTTCTTTTCCTTTTCTTTCTTTTTTTTCAAAGATAACTGGTCGCTTTGTATTTCTTAGTAAAACCGGCATTAGAATAGGTAATGTTTATTGTCCCCAAGCCCCAGCGGCAAACATATTACGTAATCTTTATCAATATGCCGTCTACCCTGTTAGGTTTTTGTCTCTCTTTAGATTTTCGCAAGCTTTCGTGCTCCTTTGTACTGTATTATAACAATTCTTTTCGTTTTGGCGACATTTATATCAGTTTAAGGGAGTCTAATCCCAAGTGGTTTTTTTCTTGATCTTTCAAGGATTAATCTTGAGTCTGTGATGTCGCGTCACGCGGTCGGGTCCAGTCCAAGCTTACAGCGATCTCGCGGCCTTTCTGAGGCTCCACTCCTCCAAATTTACCGTATGAGAGGAATGGATGGTTACGCGTTCGATAAATCGTACCAATAGAGGTCGCTATTCGAACTGATTTGAAATGTTGAGAAAAAAAAAAGAGAAACTATTTTATGAAATTTTTCCTTCTCAATTTTGAACACCTTTACTCCTAAACTGACGTCATGGAGGGTGAAAGTAATTCAAGTAGGTTATCGAGGCTAATCATTGAACGAAATGTTGCAGAGGAACTGGTGTCTTCAGACCTTCCTTGGATCATCAGGACCGTACAGAACCACCCAAGCATTTAATCAAAAATTTGGCAAGAGTTCACGTAATAATCATCTTTTGTCGAGGTTGTCAACTGTCAAGCAAATTTTTTCACAGTATTGAACACTCTCCAAACAGTGAAACTAACTAAAAATTATAATAATGGGATAATAATTTATTGACTTCACTCCAAAGCAGTGAACAGCGGGCGCATTCCTCAAAATTGTTTTATGTCTTCATCACAATACAAGAATTTTTGAGATTTGTATTTCTTTTCTTCAATGGAAACTGTCTTTATTTG